TTGTACACAGATTTGTCATAGATTTTCTATATCTGTGGGCTATTTGGGTGACCAAATGTATATTGTTGCATATGCATTTACTGCTTCACATGCAATCAGTTTTAAATAATAGGTAGTATTCAGTCTGTACTGCACAGTATGTAGTAAGCAGTATGCTATTATTCATTTTTGAACATAGACAAGAACTTTAAAGGCCAAAGGTCAGGTTTGAGAAGCACTTGGCAAACACTCTGTAACTCATTCCTCAGTAAAAGGAGACGGATGGAGAGCATCAGTTAACATTCAGCAGACATACAGCAGCTTTGTGATTCTTTTATAATGTGCCTCATTTTTCATCTCTAGTGAAATACCCTTCAGTTTTATGGCCGTCAATTTCACACCGATGGTGAGTCGCTTTCAAAACGTCCCTCGTCCGACCTTGATGATTAGCTTTAATGAATTCTAGAAGAGATTACCATTATCCTTGGGATTTTTTTGTATTAAGGGCCCGACCCAGAACATTCACAGAGAGAGACGGGCAGAGATAGTGATCGAGATTCAAAAAAGAGGTATTTTAAAAGTGCAGCTTATGCTTCAGTTTTTGAAAAAGTAGTGAGGGATGATGGGTAGATTTTGTGAGTCAGGTTTGGGGAAGTAAGGACACTGAAAGCGCGAGTAAGAAAGAAAGAAAAAAGCGAGACAAAGGAAACTATAGAGAAATGACAGTGTCACAGTTGCATTGATAATAAATAATAATAACAATGACGTGTAGAATAGAGTCGGAACGGCGCAGTGAAAGGTGACCTTGCAAAGGACAGAAGAAAAAAACAGTCCCATCCACCTCAAAATCAATCACTCACCTCAGAAAATATTGTATATGCGGCATCTAAAAGTGTTTCTGCTGTACGTGAGCATCAGATGTCCTCAGACATCCTGCTGTCAGTCTTTAATATCTCAATCTCTCAGATTAATACTCATAGTTTGATCTCCAGCTCTGGCGCTGTGTCACTGATCTCCCAAGACTGAGGAAATTACCCAGAATGCTCTGTTCTCACTGTAATCTCATAAAGTAGGGGTGCTCCAAAGGTGACTGTGATAAATGTCATAAGTGTGTGATCTGATCTCTAGGTACATGAGCTTTACATGATTCAGCCAGAGGAACTTGTTCCTGGATCAACATGCAGGAAGTTCAAAAGGAAAAACAGTCAGAGCAATGAATGGCACTGGGATTTGATTGGACTGGATCTCTTCCCAGTGTCTGGCTCATCACACACACACACACACACGCGCTGCTGATCCTTTCAGCACTTTTAACAGCAAAGGCAGATTAACCCGTCCATATTTGTCAGGCATTCGATTTCCATTTGCTTTTGTCCGTATCTGTCACTCATATGCTGCTGTCAAGACTTAGAAGAGTCTGGAGTGACCTGGCCTCATTTTGATAGATCATTGATCTCTCTCTGAGAAGCACTTACTGTATGTAGATCAATATCTAAGAAAGATCACCTCTCTCAAAGGATGTGCTAAATGCTACTTCAAACGCTCACAGTCTCTTTCTGTTGATGAACAGATGATGTGCTCCATTACAGTCATCATAGAAGCAGATTATATTGACAGCAGACACAAAACAACCAGCTGGCAAGTCAAAATTTGAATAAGAATAAATTAATTTGGCAGTTTGTTTTTACTTTAAGATGCTATCATTTAAAAGCATAATTGCATATACAGGTGCATCTCAATAAATTAGAATGTCATGGAAAAGTTCATTTATTTCAGTAATTCAACTCAAATTGTGAAACTCGTGTATTAAATAAATTCAATGCACACAGACTGAAGTAGTTTAAGTCTTTGGTTCTTTTAATTGTGATGATTTTGGCTCAGTTTAGTATATATACTGTGCACTATCCAATAATCAATATAGCCTATAGGCTAGTGTTTTCAATTAATTTCTTCAGTTGCCTACAGCTGATTGCTCACTCAAACTACCGTCTGAAGAGTCCATTTGATCATCCTGCTCTGAGCAGCATCTCATTTGATATACAAATTGACTCAGTGTTTGAGCACTAGACGGTGAAAAAGGCTCTTGTTTTCTGTAGAATTCAACTTAGTCTGAGAATTAGCCATCAAGTGTTTTTGCAGCACACAGATTTGTGGGGGTGAAATGTCTAAAAGAAAGCGGCTGCAAACACTCACTGATAACTGATGCATTTATTTATCCATTCAGTGGGAGCTAAAGAGCGTCCCCACAACAACTCCCAAAAGCATCAGACAGTTTCGTTCTTGCAGCTGAAGACACTTGTTGATGTAATGAAAACTAAATGGATGAAGGGTGTTGTGGATGCAAACACACTCCACTCTGATTCTTCATGGACTTTGATTCAACTTATTATCATTCAGCATGTGACTCTTCTAGAAGCTTTCGCGTCAAAGGCATGAAACCGATTACTGATCTTCATACGATGGTATTAACTGCTTCCCGACAACAAAGTCAATTTTCTCCTCTGGTTTACATCATTCCTTGAATCTCTTTCCTGTCATTCCATTTTTCACCCTCTTTGAGAGAGAGAGAGAGAGTGAATGAAAGAGAGGAACAGAGAAAGACAGAAAGTGTTAGGTGGCTCTTTGTCTCTCATTTGCCAGTCACCGTAGATTACTTCTCTGATTAAGTTGCTCTAATTGGACTCTGCTTCAGATTTGGCAGGTGAACAATGGCTCGCTTTGATGAATAAGTCGTGTTGCGCTTTGGGCCGTTGCTTCTCAATCTGAGAGAAATCGTTATGCCATTAGCGACGGATCACATGCCAAGAGCCACAGACACAAAGAACTGAGTCTTAAAGTCAAAGAAGCAACAAAGAAAATTACTTAAAATCTCCCAGGTCGAATAAACATTAAGAACCATAGTGTGAGGAAATGCTTTCAGCTGCTGTAACAAGCTTGTAAGACATGTCTGAGACGTGATCTGTCCTTAACCCGTACGTTGACAGAATGTCCCTGTTTTGAGACCAGAGGGGCTGCAACTGCTCCAACACTCAACATACAGATGGTGCCTTTATGTAACGGACGCGTTCATTACATCCACATCATTTCTCATATGAAGCTGCACTTCACGCTGAAATCAATTCACCCTTAAGTTTAGCAGTTGACGACGTACGTGTCAAAAGTATCTTAAGGTCACAAACAGTTGAAAACAAACAGTTTCCTTGCACAAGCAGCATCCTTGACGTGACATTTGAACAACCAGACATGAGCATCTTTTTTAACAGGTGACAAAATGAAGGTCATGAACATCTCCAGCCTCATTAAAGAGTTCAGCGTGTTTGTGAAGATTCAGTGAAACGATCCTATTGGACGTCAATCAATAGAGCAGCAGTAATGAAAAAGAATCATTAGCGGCATGAGGGCATGTTAAAAGGTTTTAAAAGATGTTGTTCCTGTTCTGATACAGTAGGTCACATGATATAAAACAGTCAAGTTATCATATTATCATATATAGATTATTACATATCCTAAACAGAATTTCCATCTGTATGAAGCATAAGGCCAGAGACTTTTGAGCCAATATGTCTAACACAATCTCATGACAATTCGTAACTATTTTACATTTTGGCAAATTGGACAAAAATTGCACGAAATTCCCTATTGCAATTAGCTAATCATAAAATTGTTACTTTCTCCTGTGGGATCAACTTGGTATGCTTTTACCCTTGTAAAAAAGACTACTTTTAAATAATATACTTTAAAAGAAAATAGTTATGTGCAAACTCAATGTAATGTTTTCGGACACTTAATTGCATGTTACTTACAATTTAGCGAAAATATAGTTTAAATTTATATTAAATGCAAATTAACTTTTTTTTTTACCCATATATATATATATATATAGATATATAGATAGATAGATAGATAGATAGATAGATAGATAGAGATTTATCTCAGATATATATATATAGTTATGTGCAAACTCAATGTAATGTTTTCGGACACTTAATTGCATGTTACTTACAATTTATAATTTAAATATGAAATTTCATAATGACTTTACTGTCTTTAAAATATCGATAAAGTGCACTTCTAAATCTACTGACAAGCATTTATGATAAACGAAATTAGCAAAACTGCTACATTTCCTACATTATCATTGGAATTTAATTATAGATTTATATTTATAGGTGTATAGATTTAAAGTCCTAGAAAAAACATGCTGGCTTAAGCTGGTTGCTGTGTTTTGGAAGATGTTAGCTGGTCATTAGCTGCTGCAAACTAGCAGAGTGACTGGCAATTCCAAATCACAGTTAACCGCTTAAACTAGATTTACCAGGAGGTGAAAATGAGAATGAAAGAAATTCAGAGAGAAAATCGCTGAAATTTTTTTTGAATATTGAGAGGATCTTAACCCGATTAGCAAACAGGGCAAATGCTTCCCAGAGAGCATTTAAGAGTGTAAGCAAACATGATTAATATTACATGCACACTCAAATACACACTTACATACAAACGCACAAACACACACACTTACAGAGGAAGTGAGCAGGCGGGGGAGGAGAGTGAAAGACAGACAGACAGAAGCCCAGAGAGATTGATGACTGTATTCAAATGAATACAGAGAACTGACAGGAACCCAATGGAGCGAAACACTGGCACAGAGAGATTCTGATGTGAGGCAGTCCAGCACAAGCACACGCACACTTACAACAACATACAGTAGCACACACATCAATACAGTGACAAACGCACACTTTAACACCACACGTGTGCTGTGTGCTCCAATTCCCAAGACCAAACACAACCACAAATGGCCTAAAATGCTTTTAGGATCAATAAACGCAAGAACTGAGTTGCCACTGACACTCCTTCACCTCTTTAAACGAGCACAAAACAAAGCACAAGTCACAAAGAACTGTTTGGGAGTACAAATGGAACAATGAAAAATCACCCGGTTTCCCATGAGAAGAACATTTATTGCCATTTCAAAAGCATCACTGAAGCCAGACAAAGCCAAAGACATTTCACCGCCGTCTTACCTAATTTAGGGAGGGAATATTTCACTTTGAAGTAATCCTGGTAAAAGTGCAGGAGTCTCTTGGTGATGTGCAGAGCATAGTCCCCCGATCCGCTCTGGATGGCGTCAGGTCTGGCGTACAGCCGAATCTACAACAACGCAACATAAGAGGAGAGAGAACAGAAGTCAAAGTGTGTCAGGTGCTGAATGAATGACTCTTATACGGCTCTGTGTTTATTCCTAACCTGAATTCCCTCAAGGATAACAGTTATGGACTTGAAAGATTAAGTTCCAAGGGTAATCCATTGTGAACATAATCTGCCAAATGCCTTCATCTGTCTTGTGAATTTTGAATTTGTCTCTCAAGTGTACTTTTCTTCACCCCCATGCATACAGTCTTGTTCCTTCCAGTTTTGTATACTTGTCTTGTTCAAATCAAAGTTTGTAATTTTTACTTTTTTTTGATTCACCTCAGAGTTGGTTGGTTTAATGCATGGCTTAATGTTTTATTAAACAACTCATTTAAAATCCTTATCGACTGGGAAAGAAATATACTTCAGAACCAAGGCCATTGAAAAGTAAGCAGCCCGTTCAGCAGGAGTTATGGCACCTTTAAATGAACTGCCTGCACTTTCATAAACCATGATGCTATTGGTCTATAGCTGCTGAAAACTCCTCCATTTGTTTAAAATGTGATTATTCCCATCAATTGTAAGCAAGCGCTTTGATAAAATAGCATTTTACACATTTGTCTCAGGAAACAAATTAGATTTCCATGAAAAACCAAAAAGACAAAGCATTTGCATTATTCTGAACTATTATATGCATGTGAGAGAGAAAGTGTGAGAGGGAAAGTGTGTGAGGTGTGGCTCTGTGGGAAATATATTCCCACAGTAAAAATGATCTTGGACTCTTTTAGCCGAAGGCTAATGCACGGCACGGCTTTCTGAACGGGCATCCATCTAGTCAGAATGAATGTCCTCCTACACTAACAGAGTTACAGTGCAAAACAAGCAGCAGGAAAGGCTTTGTTTCAGAGCCTGGCAGCAATGCACATTGAATTATGTGTTGTTTACCTCACATGTTGCTGGTGTATCGATCAGCTCTGTGTCTGATATAAAGATGAATGGGCGGCACTTAGGGCTGTGGAAATGATTCAAACTTCAATCAAATCAATGTGATTTTAAAACAACCTGTAATTAGACAAAGCGCTCAAGTTGACAATCAAGAGACGCTTCTTTAATCAGCCGGTGTGGAGATTGTTCAATCTGACTCCAGTGCTGGCTCCTTCATTTGTTTGTTTGGTTTTGTTGAAGGCAGCTTGACAGAGACGTAAAGTGATAGTTAACCCAAAAATTATCCCATGATTTACTCACCCTCAAGGCATCCTAGGTGTATATGACTTTCTTCCAAGGCTGGGCCGTGGAATAGGCAAATGCTAGGGGCACCGCCGATCCCTAGAGGTGCCAAAATTATTTTATTTTATTAATTTTTTATTAACAATACTACTTCAATAATATGAATTTAAAATATTACAAAAAAGCGATTGTCCCACAAAAACATAACTATTTTATTGCTCTCCCGACTCGTCCCATTTCGACGCATGATCAATCTTCCCCCACGCAGCCGCACTTCTACATACATCAGCTACCTGATTGTGATAGATGTTCACTAATAAAATATCACTATGTCAAAAATACCAAAGCCCTCTGGTGCCCAGGGAAGAAAAAAAATTAGAGAAGAAGAAGAAAAACTGGGGAAAAGACAGAGGTAATGTGATGTAATGAATGATGATGATCATATAAATAAACTAACGTTAGCCCTTAAATGCATGAATGTTTCGCCAGTCATAATTAGCTACATATTCAGGTCTTTAGCGACCTGGACCTATATATCCAGCATGGATGGATCTCTAACTGCTGCAATAGCAAAAAACTCTCTTGATATTTTAAGAACAATTACAGAAGAATAAAATAAAGCATATTTCGTTACCTTTTGAAACTTAGAAGGGTTCAATTTGAGCAGATGATTTTAACATCGCTGTCATCGTCAGAGCACACTTCCACAGTACATTCAGCTTCTGGCTCATATTCGCGATCTCAACCATATTCTCAAAACTATCGTTCCCTTTCGTGGAACTTCGAACTGCGTCCTCTAGGGGTCGCTATGGGGAACGCCTCGTCGTGACCCGTGTCTGAAGCCTACATTGAAAAAACCCCAACTTGTTTGGCCGGCGACAGCCATGACGTCACTACCGTCGCGACTAGTACAAAATAGGCGCCGGTAGCGCACATCATCACTTCTTCGTCTGAAGCTTGTGTCCGCAGCATGGCACAAAAAGCTAGAGGACGCAGTGTCTCGTTCCCCTCAGGGAACCATGGTTACATAAGTAACCCGAGACGTTCCCTTTCGTGGAACTTCGAACTGCGTCCTCTAGGGGTCGCTATGGGGAACGCCTCGTCGTGACCCGTGTCTGAAGCCTACATTGAAAAAACCCCAACTTGTTTGGCCGGCGACAGCCATGACGTCACTACCGTCGCGACTAGTACAAAATAGGCGCCGGTAGCGCACATCATCACTTCTTCGTCTGAAGCTTGTGTCCGCAGCATGGCACAAAAAGCTAGAGGACGCAGTGTCTCGTTCCCCTCAGGGAACCATGGTTACATAAGTAACCCGAGACGTTCCCTTTCGTGGAACTTCGAACTGCGTCCTCTAGGGGTCGCTATGGGGAACGCCTCGTCGTGACCCGTGTCTGAAGCCTACATTGAAAAAACCCCAACTTGTTTGGCCGGCGACAGCCATGACGTCACTACCGTCGCGACTAGTACAAAATAGGCGCCGGTAGCGCACATCATCACTTCTTCGTCTGAAGCTTGTGTCCGCAGCATGGCACAAAAAGCTAGAGGACGCAGTGTCTCGTTCCCCTCAGGGAACCATGGTTACATAAGTAACCCGAGACGTTCCCTTTCGTGGAACTTCGAACTGCGTCCTCTAGGGGTCGCTATGGGGAACGCCTCGTCGTGACCCGTGTCTGAAGCCTACATTGAAAAAACCCCAACTTGTTTGGCCGGCGACAGCCATGACGTCACTACCGTCGCGACTAGTACAAAATAGGCGCCGGTAGCGCACATCATCACTTCTTCGTCTGAAGCTTGTGTCCGCAGCATGGCACAAAAAGCTAGAGGACGCAGTGTCTCGTTCCCCTCAGGGAACCATGGTTACATAAGTAACCCGAGACGTTCCCTTTCGTGGAACTTCGAACTGCGTCCTCTAGGGGTCGCTATGGGGAACGCCTCGTCGTGACCCGTGTCTGAAGCCTACATTGAAAAAACCCCAACTTGTTTGGCCGGCGACAGCCATGACGTCACTACCGTCGCGACTAGTACAAAATAGGCGCCGGTAGCGCACATCATCACTTCTTCGTCTGAAGCTTGTGTCCGCAGCATGGCACAAAAAGCTAGAGGACGCAGTGTCTCGTTCCCCTCAGGGAACCATGGTTACATAAGTAACCCGAGACGTTCCCTTTCGTGGAACTTCGAACTGCGTCCTCTAGGGGTCGCTATGGGGAACGCCTCGTCGTGACCCGTGTCTGAAGCCTACATTGAAAAAACCCCAACTTGTTTGGCCGGCGACAGCCATGACGTCACTACCGTCGCGACTAGTACAAAATAGGCGCCGGTAGCGCACATCATCACTTCTTCGTCTGAAGCTTGTGTCCGCAGCATGGCACAAAAAGCTAGAGGACGCAGTGTCTCGTTCCCCTCAGGGAACCATGGTTACATAAGTAACCCGAGACGTTCCCTTTCGTGGAACTTCGAACTGCGTCCTCTAGGGGTCGCTATGGGGAACGCCTCGTCGTGACCCGTGTCTGAAGCCTACATTGAAAAAACCCCAACTTGTTTGGCCGGCGACAGCCATGACGTCACTACCGTCGCGACTAGTACAAAATAGGCGCCGGTAGCGCACATCATCACTTCTTCGTCTGAAGCTTGTGTCCGCAGCATGGCACAAAAAGCTAGAGGACGCAGTGTCTCGTTCCCCTCAGGGAACCATGGTTACATAAGTAACCCGAGACGTTCCCTTTCGTGGAACTTCGAACTGCGTCCTCTAGGGGTCGCTATGGGGAACGCCTCGTCGTGACCCGTGTCTGAAGCCTACATTGAAAAAACCCCAACTTGTTTGGCCGGCGACAGCCATGACGTCACTACCGTCGCGACTAGTACAAAATAGGCGCCGGTAGCGCACATCATCACTTCTTCGTCTGAAGCTTGTGTCCGCAGCATGGCACAAAAAGCTAGAGGACGCAGTGTCTCGTTCCCCTCAGGGAACCATGGTTACATAAGTAACCCGAGACGTTCCCTTTCGTGGAACTTCGAACTGCGTCCTCTAGGGGTCGCTATGGGGAACGCCTCGTCGTGACCCGTGTCTGAAGCCTACATTGAAAAAACCCCAACTTGTTTGGCCGGCGACAGCCATGACGTCACTACCGTCGCGACTAGTACAAAATAGGCGCCGGTAGCGCACATCATCACTTCTTCGTCTGAAGCTTGTGTCCGCAGCATGGCACAAAAAGCTAGAGGACGCAGTGTCTCGTTCCCCTCAGGGAACCATGGTTACATAAGTAACCCGAGACGTTCCCTTTCGTGGAACTTCGAACTGCGTCCTCTAGGGGTCGCTATGGGGAACGCCTCGTCGTGACCCGTGTCTGAAGCCTACATTGAAAAAACCCCAACTTGTTTGGCCGGCGACAGCCATGACGTCACTACCGTCGCGACTAGTACAAAATAGGCGCCGGTAGCGCACATCATCACTTCTTCGTCTGAAGCTTGTGTCCGCAGCATGGCACAAAAAGCTAGAGGACGCAGTGTCTCGTTCCCCTCAGGGAACCATGGTTACATAAGTAACCCGAGACGTTCCCTTTCGTGGAACTTCGAACTGCGTCCTCTAGGGGTCGCTATGGGGAACGCCTCGTCGTGACCCGTGTCTGAAGCCTACATTGAAAAAACCCCAACTTGTTTGGCCGGCGACAGCCATGACGTCACTACCGTCGCGACTAGTACAAAATAGGCGCCGGTAGCGCACATCATCACTTCTTCGTCTGAAGCTTGTGTCCGCAGCATGGCACAAAAAGCTAGAGGACGCAGTGTCT